ACTTGCAAGGCTTAAGGCATGACCATTTTAAAACTCTTTGACCAGCAGCTTCCTCCTTTACTCCCAAATCTCTACATTCTTTTCATCTTTATCACAGCTTCTGCTCTCAAATACCAATTTTTCCCAAAGATATCTGAAGGATTTGAACTCTTAAAGGTGCTTCTAGGACAACCACAAATGGATTACAACAATAGATTAGGTTTTAAGGGACTCCTTAACACCATTCTGTGGGCTCAGGAATCTTAATGTTACCTTTCTGTTCAGAAACACTAGGACAATGAGCAGCAGCCTTCTCTACAAAAGCTACTAGATATAAAAGCAGCTATATCATGAAAAGGGGTTCCAAAAACTTCACCACTTCCAATCTGGGTTTCCCGTGAACATTCAGAAAAGGTACATATATCTAGGGATTTTTTAAAAAGGAAAAAAAAGACTTTTTCTGGCTGCTCCCATGGTATTATAGCCAAACAGCATGAGCTCAACTCCTAGCTTTCAAGACATGAGATAACTGACAGAACATGACTGCACTATCACCTCAATTGCCAAAAACCACAGACCTAATCTAGCTCTATCCGGAATTCTGAGGTGATGTTGGTTAAATTCTTCCATATTTCAATTACTAATGTTTTCACAGAAAGGGTCACAACATTGCTAAAAGAATATTAATTTCCATGGTCTGGGGTTGTGGCTCAGTGGTAGAGCCCTTGCCTAGCACGTGTGAGGCACTGGATTCCTCAGCACCAAATTAAATAAACAAAATGAAGTTATTTTTTAAAAAAGAATATTAGTTCCCTAATAAGAATATTACACTAAGTCAGTAGAAATAGAAACTTATTGATAACAAATATTATATAAACAGGTTATAAAAAGACAATTCTACATCTCTTCCATCACTAGAACACTATCTTGGACAAAGCCTCTTTTTTTTTTTACTTCTACATTTCCATATTTTTATTATGGCATGAAAAATAAAACTAGGTTCTCTCAGTTCATTTCTCTTAGGTAGCACTGTCTAATGACAGATTTGCATTTTAGTTTGGGGCTTTTTATTGTTGTTATCATTTTGGGGGTTTTGCTGCCTAGCAGAAAATGTACTTGTAAGTGAGCATTCAAAGATGGTGTCTGTCTGACTAACCAGGAAATCACCTCTGTTTATTTTCCATATGATAATTTCTTTATACTATTCTTTCTAGTTCTGAATCTTTCAGAGTGAGTTCTCAAAGACCACCTATAGAAAAATGAGAATTACTGGTTACAACCATTTCTAAAATATGCTGTTTTTTATCTTGTCTCAAGACACTCTTGGAAATGGGTTAAGTAATAACAAAGACTGTTTCTACCACTACTTTCTAATTAAAAGTTGCACTGATTTCTAATTCAGCCTTAAACTGTTAATGATGCTAATCCTCAATTACTGTAGTCTAATTTTCCACAAATGAAATAAAAAAAAACTTAGAAAGATAAAAACAGTTTAACCTATATTCTATCACACAGAGAAACTATGAGCTTTTATTTCATTAGGGTTTTCTTTCAATTCAATAATTTGTAGTAGAATGTTATATACCTATACACACACACACACACACACATATATATACTCACACATACATATATGTATACATATGAAGCTACAATTTTATATTGCTTTATAACCCACAAATACCTAATTTATTGCCAAGACTTTCCATTTTAGAAATGAAAAATACTTTCAACTGGATACCAATCTGAAAATGTAAACAAAAACAACTTTTTAAATAAGAAAATATATAATTGTATACCAAGCTATAGCAATATGATCATTATGGCAGTTATTTTCCTATGAAAAAAAATAAAGCTGTTTAAATTGTTTTTTTCAATTCTGGTTCTTCAAATACCAATGCTTTTCCAACCTCTAAATTTACTTCAGATCACACTACAAACTACGAAGTAGTAACAAAATGTCTCCTATATAAGAGCAAGAAATTTATTCATCAACATGTTTCCAAATCTTGTGAACACTTCTAGTATCCTAAAAATAAAGTTGCTGATATCTAGGCCCAACCTCTGAACTTGTCAATCAGATTCAGAAGGTAAACCTTGGCTTTAGCATTTCTTAATATGAATTTAAGTTAGTCTGAAATATGCCAACCCTGCATGCAAATGAGGACAAAGATAGACACCAAATAATTACTTCTCTTTATTTAGTAGTATCATTTTTCTGTCCAAAAAGGGAGGAAAAAAAAAACCTACATAGTTGCCATAGAATTTTTGGTTGTAGTGAATAAATCACTACTTCCTAAAAGTTTCACCTCTACCTGCCTAATAGACACAAGAGTTATTGTGAAACCAATCTTAAATCTCTCTCCCCATAAAACAATCACCAGAGATCCAAAGGCAAATTAGATATCCGTATTCAGCTTAACAGTCAGCAGTCCCTCTCCAAGGGTAAAGCCAAAAATATCTTCTGGACCAAATGGGAATTCCTGACCCTAAGGTCTATCCTTATAAGTTCTTTCTGGAAACATGCATGTTATATGGGTTGTAGCAGCATGTTACCTGGACATGTTAACAACATAGGATATTCATCAAATGAACTCATCATCAACAGGTAGAGAGCAGAACCCAAGAAAATGGGCCACATCAGCAGCAACTTTTGTCTGTGTGTGTGTGGTGCTGGGGAGAGCAGCAACTTTTGACAGGAAATGGAGGAATGACAGAAATCCCTACTGGATAGACAAATCTTAAAGGCCAGAATGTCTAAATTCACTTCCTTTACAAATTTATAGGTCAGGAGGTAGAACCACTGACAAGATTTTAACTGAAAGATATGTGGTCCTGAACCACTGAAGCTGTTCTAAAGTTTCCACACCTCTTTGTCTAAATATGGACATATGAGAAAACATAAGTGGTAAAGATTTTATTAAATGAGGATGAACGTGTAACAAAAGCCAATACCAAGCTTGATAAATCCTTCAATAATAAATTCTAATAGTTATTCTGCAACAAAACACCCAGACAGATGATAAAATTATATGTGCATATTTTCTGCATTCAAAAGAATTAAGTACAAAGATAAGCATATTTACCATTATGTCATGTCATGTTAGAAGATATTAGAAAATTCTACAGCAAATCTTCCAAAGTTTTGAATTAAATCTACCTAAAACCTGAAAAGTACCTCAAACTGCCAGCATATAATTTCTTGCTGTACTTTCTATATTACTTGCTAAAGGATGCTCATTCAAGTTCCAAGTAGTGAAACTACAGTAACTAAAATGATACATTGTCAATCTGTCTCCAGCATCAACTCTGAAAATACGGATAATAGACAGGAAAGGATTAGAAATCCAATTTTCTACATGAAAATTTAAGTATTGCTTTTTTGTTGTTGTTATTGTTCTCTGGGATTTTGCCACTATCCTTCCAATTGTGACAATTTGTAATTATTCACAACTAGAGTAAGATATTCTGAGGGGAGAAGATTAATTTTAAGACTTAAAAATGTATTTTAATCCTGTAAATAAATGTTCAGCAAAACAATTCGCATTAGTCTTGATCAAATAAGTGATTTAGTCTTGTGATTTTTTTTAATTAGATGAAATGTCACATTTAAAATCCTATAAACATGGAAGATACAATTATTCCTAGGATAAAAAATAGGCCTTTGAAATACTCACAATGACTTAATAACCTGTATTAATACATATTTTACACTCAAATACTAGATGGTCTCTGGTTCCTTTCAGCTCATATCTTCCTTAACTCTACCAGATTATTCTTAGAACCTTAGCACTTACAGGTAGAACCTGAATATGAAAGAAAATTCACAATTAAAGTTATCCTCATTAAGCCTAATTAAACAGTGCAGACAGAAAGATGGCAGTAGAATAAAGCAGTCTGAATTTGGGATAAGGAGAATATAATTAACAGTTCTTCATCCCATGAATGAAGCAAAGTATACAAGTCTGGCTGGAGTTTGGGATATAGTGGACAATATCTGTCTTTTGGGTGAACTAACTCAACAAGGTATAGACTTTTGTATCCTATTAATGCGATACTCTATCTGAAGTAACCAATCATCCCGCAGGAAAACACGTGTCACCTAGAGTGAATCCCCTAATTTTAGTATGTAGTCTCCCTTATTAGCAGTTTTCTTACTTTCTATCCTAAAGGGAAATCCATAAGCTTAAATGCTGCAGGTATCTCACTCCTGTATTTTGACTCCAGCCCTTCAGGTCCAAACAAAAGCTATTAAGTAGGGTGGGATTTATTCTCTCCATTCGGTAAAAGTTTGTGGCTGTTTTCAGGATATAGGCTCCCGCTTTAACACCTGCCATAAATTGTGATATTACCGTGACAGATCCTTCATATTCAAAGAGTTCTTGATTGAAATACTGATAATATCAGGAGTCAGTGAAAGGAAACGTGATGGCCCTGCAGAGTGCACCAGAAATAAACAGGAGAGTGGCAATGCTGGCAGCACTTCGGAGGCTCACGGCGGGGCGAGGAAATCATCCCGTAAGTTTCCCTTCCTTCCACGAAATTACCCTGCCATGCCCCGCATCCCCACCCCACCCTACTACAAGAAGTCAGTCCCGCAACTCGCTGTAGGACAAGGGGACAGCTCCTCACCCACCGGCAGAAGTTGGGTTTGGCGGCAGCCACAGTTTAATCCTTCCTGCTGGAGAGTCGAGGCTGACACCGCCTTCTACGGGGGCAAAGCCAGGATGCCAACTTTCCCGCGGCCCCCTCCTCTGCGCACTAGCCCAAACTTTGTGGTTCGGCGGTGTAAAGTAGCGCTGGGTCGTGGCCGCACCTCGAGCAGGCATTAGTGCTGACCTTCACGCCAGCCCCCAGTGGCCAAACCCGCCGCCCGAGCCTCCAGCAGGCTGCCTCCGGACCCCCTTCCACCGCCCCCCAGCCCTCGTGGGAAACCCGGACGACGGTAGCCCGGCCCCGCGTGTCACTACAGTCTACGACCCACGGAGGCCCCGAGAGACCGGGTTTCGAGGTCCACTCACCATTGGTGAAGGGCTCCATTTTCCCCCCGCTGCGGCTCCTTATAGCCGGAGCTCCCGAGCTTCCTACTCCGAGAGCTGAAGCGGCCCTGTTGACTGAGCATGCCCAGCGCGGCCTTGAGGGTTGCCGGGGAGGTGCCGCTTGGGGCGGCGCCGCTCCGCCGTTCCGGGTTTTCGCTTCGGCTGCAGAAAGAGCCAGGGAGGCCGGAGCCCAAAGCTTCAGCTCAACCCTCGGACGGCTTCAGGGAGAGGCGGGGAAAGAGCGGCAGGGGCGGGGCCAGCGCGAGCCCCGCCCCGCCCCTTCCAGAAGTGCCAGCGGCCGCAGCGTTCCCTAACCGCGAAGCTAGTTCACTTCTTCAGCCAACGTGGAGGCCTTTCAGTTCCTGGGCGCCGCTAGGCCGGCTCTGAGCCAGAAAAGCACCGCCCCGCCCTTGTGGAGCGGACATTCCAAAGACAGACAATAAACAAACGCAGAAGACACGGGAGAGTAAAATCAGTGCCCCACTGCGCATTCAGTCAGGATGATGTGATGGAGAGGGAGTGGGTCGTTCATTCAGTTGGCTTGGTGATGTGAGGCCTCGCTGAGGACGTGCCACTGAAGTCGAGATCTGAAGGCAGAGCAGGATCCTGAGGAGGAAAAGTCACTCTTTGGACCGCGAAACGTCGGTTTCCAGGGAGACTGGCCCCAGGCAAATCGCTTAGAGGCCAAAGGAGCGTGTGATGTGGGTCTTTTCCGCAGGGCTGCCCGCCGATTGCAGAGTTGTCCCAGAGTTGAATCTCGCTGGCTAGGAGACCGAAGTGAGGGCGGGGACGCCCACGGACCCCACAGCGCTCGGGGTCGCGTCCACGGGCTGGCGGCTCTAGGCGCGGCCTCAAGATGCGGGCGGATCAAAAAACCCGGCGCCGGATCTCCCGGCCGGGCCCCAGGCGCCGCAGGTTGTGGGCAGAGGCTCGCCTGATCTCAGCTCTAAATCAACACCTGCGGTTCCCTGGGGCGCTGTCTCTGGGGCCTTGGGCCAGGCCCTGCGGCGCTAGGCCGAAGACGCTCTCCTGGTCTCTCCTGTCCCCCAACCCTCGCGCCATTGTCTCCAGCCCCGAGTCTCCATTGTTTCCAATGCCAAATCCCGGCAGCTCTGGTGAGCCTTCGAGACAGAATCCTCGGTGGACCCGTGAACCCCGGGGAAACTCTTCTCCGCCCTCTTCCTCATCCCTCTCTCCGAGTGCGCATAGCCTCCACCCTCGCGGCAAAGGCCTACCCCCTCCCAAGGCGCAGCCACCGCTTGTTTCCCTCCTCCCCTCCCGCAGCTCTGGCCCCTGCAGCGACTTGGCTCCGGATGCACCTCACTGCGCCTGCCAACTGTCACACAGTCCTCTGAGGCTGTCAACAGCAGGGCGTCGGGTGCAAACAAGCCTAGGCGAGGGCAAACAGGGACGGAGGGCCAGAATGTTTTTCGACCAACACCAGAATTAGAAATTGGGTTCAGAGAAATGAAATCGAAGTGCAATATCGTATTTTAAAATGTCAATTGTATTACACCTTTTACTTCCCACCCCGCTTTAAAACTTCAAATGAATACCAATTTTAATTAGAATAAAAGTGAAACTCCTTACCTAACTCTAGGACCTTATCAATACATGCTCACCGTGCTTTGGCTACAGAGGCCTCCTAGCTCCTGAAAGTGCCAAGTTCCATATGACATTGTTAACCATTCATTTTGCATATCCGTTGCAAAAGAACTAGTTGTTCCTTCTTGGTATTTTGTCTGCTGGTTTCTTCTTTTCCCTTAGGTCTCAGCTCAGATATCACTTCTGCAAAGAATGCTGGTCTGACCACACATCTGAAACAGCTACAGTCTGCTCTATAAAGATTTGGCCTTACTTCTTTACAGCATTCAATTCTGTCAAAACCATGGTTTTGGTTCTTCGTTTAATTATTATCAATCTTCCTCTTGAGAATGCAAAAATTTTGAGGACAGAGTGATTGCCCTTTTTAAGGTTATATCCTGATGCCTAGATAAGTATAAGATGAATAATTACTGAATGAATGAGTGAATGGATACAGTGATATTTAGAGCTATAATTCACAGCCAATGTTAAAAAACAGTGTATCTATATTGAATATTTCTAATTAATGTGTTTGTGTTCAATATAGAGAAAATGCCTCCATTACATGACATTTTAGAGCTGCTCTCTTCCTACTGTGTGAAAGATAATAGCCCTTAGGGTGGACTCTGTAAGGGCACTTCACAACCAAAAATAAAAAGTGAACCACAAGGGTTAGTGTGTCAATGTTCAGATATTACACAGTATAAGCAAAGTTGGATTTTTTTAAAAATGATTCTTTGCATTACTTAGTGAAGAGACTCTTCTCTATATTTTAGGTCATGTCATGTTCCTCTGGAGTTATTTTTGCAGCCATTGCACTTAGTATCAGAGATATTTAAAACTCCATAGCTTGTTAAACCACCTCACCTCATCTCACCTCACCCCACCTCACCCCACCTCACCCTTCAGCTACAGTCTATCATGCTTTTAAGTGTGAAACATGTGGTCTTGTGTTTTGTTTTAAATACTTCAACTCTGCAAACTTGTGGTAAAAATGTTTCCCCACTGCACTAGCAAATATAGGTGGATCAAGATATCTTAGTGTGATTTTACAGAAGCAAACAATTTCTTTGCCCCTCACGCTTCCCGTTCTTACATACATAAAAAGACATTGAGGACTCTTTAAAAGACTTAGGATCTAGTGGGAAAAAAGTAAACAAAATAATATGCTTCAGCATCCTAGCCACCCTCAAAGAATAATAATGAATTTTGTCATGTTGTGTGCTGTTTTAAATTTAATTTCATAAAATCTTTCTGAGGAAAAAAAGTATTACAATTTCACTACTGAAACCCATTTTACGTTTCTATCTTTAACCCCTCCCATCCTCCCTGACAGCACTTACTCTTTAGTTTAAGAATTCTTAACACTTCAAAATATTATGAAGTTACTACTCTTTATCAAAGAAGCTAGTGTGACATTATCTACTACATATATTTACCATTTTTAGAATTATTCCTGTGTGCCATTTAATGTTTGAATTATAAAATATAAGAAAAAAACATGGGTTCTCCTGAATAATAAACAACATTTGTTTATTTTTTTTTAAAAAAAGAATATAAATTAATATAGTCATATGGAAAAACAATATAGAGCCTCCTCAAAACATTAATATGTATCTACCTTATGATCTGGCTATCTCATTTTGGATTATATATACAAAGGAAACAGCATATAAAAAGAGACTTCCATGACCATTTTTATTGCTGCATTATTCGCAATACCTAAGGTATAAAATCAACCTAGATGCCCTTTAATAGATGAACAAATAAAGAAAATGTGATATGTACACACAATTATTTAGCCACTAAAAAGAACAGTCTCCTATCATTTGCAGCAAAATGGGTAGAAATAGAGCACAATATGTTAAATGGAATAAGTCAGACATAGAAGGACAATTACTGTACGCTTTCTGTCATATGTCAGTGCTTTAAAAAGTCAATCTGAATATATAATAGTGATTACTAGAGGCTGGATAGGGATGGGGTGAGGGGGAAGTGGAATAATGGAAACCAAGACATATTAGGTAGAAGTAAGTTCTAGTGTTCTACAGCACAGTGGGGTTACTGTAGTTCAAAAACATATATTTTATGAATAACTTGGAGAGAAGAGTTCAAAGTCTTCAAACAAAATAATAATAATAAGATGGAAACATTAATTACCCTGACTTGATCAGAACACTTGTAAATGTATATTGAAATCTCCTGCTGTACCTTATAAATATGCATAATTATTATGTGGTAATCAAAAATTTTTTAAAAATTTACAGAGACAGAAATGCTAACTACCCTGATTTGATCATTGAATATTATATACATGTATCAAATCATCACACTGTACCCCATAAATATGTGCAATTAAAATAATAATTTTTAAATACCCTGACATTTAAATTTTTCAGCTGAAATTAAAATATTTATATTCCATTTAAATTAATAAAAACATAATTTTAAAATAATTAAGCTTAACAACAGATGAATATAGGATTTTTTAAATCAAAATAAAAGCATTTTGTCTGCCATAGTTCTAAGATTTGTACCTGCATAGATGTGTTTACATAGATCCATAAAACGTGAGGCTTATATCAGCCTCATATTTTACAGATGATGGAACTGCAGTCTAGAAAGGGTAGAGGACTTACTCGCAGCCCAGGGGAAGACACAAGCTGGAACTCGGGCCATCTGTGCTCTAAAAATATTGCTATGAAGTTTGCTGTTGCCTCCTTATATCTAGAAGGAATTTGGGATCAATGGCAATGTAAATAGATATGAATTTTAAAAAAATGAAGCAAACTTAAGACTACAAGAAGGCTATTCCATTATTATATTGATAGTCCATATCTCATCTGGATTTGTACTATTAAGTAGTCTAATTGTTTTGAAATAAGCCAATTAACAATACATTAATTCAGTACACACATTTGAAAATGTTATTCGTTCAGCACTTTTCAGTAAATGGAGGACACTACCCGATGCCAAAACAAGAATGACCACCACAATGTTTCCAGTCACTCTAACGAACGAAGGAGTCAATATCTCATTACTCCTGTAACCCATTTGCAGCACACATACTCTGCATTAATTAGAGATATTTGAAGTTATGTCAAACTAAGAAATGTTGAGAGCACAAAAAAAAAAAAAGAATAATTATCCAACGATGTTCTTGTGGAGTTCTAACATCAGCAAAGCAATGCAGCTAAGTAAAGGAAAAGGTTATTGTTAGAAAGGAATAGTTATATACTAGCTTATATGCTTTGTACTAGAAAAACCAAAGCTCTGAACCAAACTAGTTTAAACAACAAGGACATTTATCATTTCACATAAAAAGTCCAGAGGGGCTGGGGTTGTTGGTCAGTAGTAGAGCACTTGCCTAGCATGTGTGAGGCACTGGGTTCAATCCTCAGCACCACATAAAAAATAAATAAAGTTATTGTGTCCATCTACAACTAAAAAATTAAATTAAAATTTTAAAAGCCCAGATACAAGACAA